CAAAGTAAAACGGTGCGGATTTCAATGGGATTCATAAAAAAAGGCTTAAACTCTGTCAAGACGTCGAGTGGGAATTATCTCATCCTATTGGCACCATTTCTCACACAAATTAAAAACTAAATAAGAAATACTATTTTTGAGAATATGGCTGCAGTGCGCTGCAAACACACGGCTTCGTTTTCTAACCAGTGCATTATTTCCCCACAGATTACGCAACTGAAAATTGACCACAATCCGTTTGCTAAAGGATTTCGGGACAACTATGACACGTAAGATTTTCTTTCTTCTTAATATTTATTAACTTTTATTCGATTGTAATTTTCTTATTTGTAGCCTCTGTGTTTTTACTACATGCTGCTGTGATCTGAATACATACAAATGACCAAGTTAACTCTTATTAAAGAGTTTAAATACAATAATTCTGCTGAGTATTTAATATTTGCTCTCCAAATTAGAGGATGCTCGGAAGATTTCCAAAATAAATCGAGCATGGGCCTAAAAAATGAGTGGTTTTGACTGCAACTGAAGCAAGATATTTTCAATTTAAAAGCCAGAAATGATGTAAAAAATTAACAAGCAACCCCACATTTATATTCATACAATATATTCGTTAGAACATTTATAGTCTATTGATGACAGTATTCCTCGCTCAAGTGAGTTTGGCCATAAAAATAATTGCCAATTGACGAGCAATTTTAATATTGATCAATAAAAATAAGGTGTAAAACAGCTGAACAAAGCGATAACCTTTCCTGGTAATGCAACTTTGTATCGATAGTTCCTTTTCCTTTCTATAAGGCAGTAGGCCTATTTCGAAGAACTCCCCTTGCGTAAAGATTATATTTGATGCCTTCTGAAACTCTGCGATTATCTCTAGAAAATGCTGCATTAGTGAGATGTGAGAATCTACTAAAGAAAGCAACTGGTGAAATAGATATTGACCTAAACCCACTTCACTTTTTAGAGAACCGGCCATAGCGCGCAGTTTAGTAACCGAATTGTTTCTCTGTTTTTCTCTCCATCTTTTCAGTGTCTACACAGGCTGCGACATCGACCGCCTAACTCCATCACCGGGTGACTCTCCGCGTTCACAGATCGTGCCGGGTGCGAGATATGCCATGCCTAGCTCTTTCCTGCAGGACCAATTTGTCAGCACTTATGCCAAATCTCGCTTTCACCCTGGCATGGGGACTGGTCCTGGCACGGAGCGCAGCGTCCCACTCGGCAACAGCTTGCTATCCCCGCAGCAAACCGAGGAGCCCACTGTTGCCACCCCCCCGCAGCGATGGTTTGTCACCCCTGCCAACAACCGACTGGACTTTGCTGCCTCGGCATACGACGCTGCTGATTTCGCCGGTAACGCGGCCACCTTGCTGTCCTACGCAGCGGCCGGAGTGAAGGCTCTTCCCCTGCCGACTGCAGGCTGCTCCAACCGGCCTCTTGGCTATTACGCAGACCCGTCGGGCTGGGGAGGACGCACGCCGCCGCAGTACTGTGGTGTAAATAGCAAATCCAGCTCGGTCTTTTCCTGCTGGCCCGCTAACACTCTCGGTGGCAGAGCGGGCACCAACTACCTGGCTGAGGAGGGAGACTCCATCCCGACAGAGAGGTCACCGATCGGCGGCTCGGAGGAGGCCAAACCCAAAGACATGACATCAGAGTCGAACTGGATAGAGACGCCGTCCTCCATTAAGTCAATTGATTCAAGCGATTCTGGTATCTTTGAACAGGCCAAGAGGAGAAGAATCTCACCTTCTGCCACGCCGGTTTCAGAGACAGTGTCCCCATTAAAATCTGAGCTTCTGACACCGAGAGAGTGTGAGAAAAACTGCACAAAGGACATTGGTTATTACAGTTTCTACCCACACAGTTAAAACAGTGAAAAAAAAATCTATCTATCTATCTATCTATCTATCTATCTATCTATCTATCTATCTATCTATCTATCTATCTATCTATCTATCTATCTATCTATCTATCTACAGGTTAACCAATAAAAAAAAAAAAGATAAAAAGGACTGTCACCTCCACAGTTAATGGCCAAAGTGTAAATTCTTCCACTCCTCTCTTCTGTCATGGGTCGGGCGCCTTGTTTCCACACTGTTAAGTAAGAAAACACTGTAATTATGAATATAATGTACATACAATTGGTGATAGTGATTGGATGTACACAAAATAGATTAAATCTGATTCATAAGTAGTGTTTTAAAAAGGGGAACCTCTTCTGTTAAGTAGCCTAAACTGTTAGTAAAGAAAGATATTGAGAATATGTACATTAAACGTTCTTGTGTAGCATATGCTGGCATAATAATCCCTGTCAGTGAAAAAAATATGTATTTTGTACTTTATCAAGGCTGAAGGCTACCAAAAGTTTATGACGTTATTGATCACTGCTACATTCATGAAACAACTGTGGTTAAATAAGTTATACATGTTGGTAATGTAGACTTAGTCTTTTTTATTTATTTATTTCCCTTCAGCCGCTTATTTTTCATAGCCTGTATGCTATGCTGTTGTGAAAATCTCTGTATCTGCTGTAATGTGATTGAAACGTAATAAATGATGTTATCATGGGGTAAGTAGCTAAGTAATTTTTTCTTATATATTAATGTCATGCTCCAGTTTGCATTTAAAATGTCTTTAAACCAGACAAATGATGTGTTTACTGTTTTTTTCCCCGTGAACGCATCACGTGGAGCATCTTTCCAGTCATTTTATAGCGGTCACATCAGGACTCTGTGAAGGCGCTCCAAAGTAAAGTGAACAAAAATCAAGAATTATTTGAATCTCACTCGGATCAATTAGAAATGATCCCAATTAGATGACGCTCAAGAGAGACAATCCTATCTCTTATGAGGCTCCCAGAGACACTTTCTTTAAATTGGAGTCCGTGCCCTCTTGTGTCTACACTGATTGGTTCAGAATATGAAGGAGAAAAAATATATATCAAAGCCAATTTAATGAGATTTCCACGTGGCAAAAACGGCACAGTGTAAAAAAAAAAAAAAAAAAGGTAAATTAAAGAGGGCACAAAAATAATAGCTGCCTAATAGCGGGAACCCTGTGAATGGAGCCAGAGTGTTATATGCCAATGTGTAACTTTTATATTCGTCTCCATTCAAAGTGATCCAGGTGGTTATTAATTATGAAATACCTGACTGAATGGATTAGATATTTTTGTCTGACTCAACAGTAAGGATTGTTGCAGCAGCATTTGGTTGGAATTACTTTGTTTGCCAATCTAAGAGGGCGAAAAGTTTTTTTTGTCATAGTCGCACTGAAAAAAAACCCCCCCCACCAAAAAAAAAAAAAAAAAAAAAACGAACTGTGAAGTTGACAAGTTTTCTGTTCGGCAGCCAAAGGAAGTGACACATCTAAAGAAAGTCTTGCCTGTGGGAAAATGTGAACCAGAACAAACGCGCAAAAGAAAGGTGTAAGGATATACACCTAAATAAAATATGGGGTTAAAGATGTTTTAAAACTTCAATTGATTGCAGATTGATTGCTTAATTGCTGATTGAATGGTTCTCGAATGATCCGATTTTTAATTGCGTCATTTTGAAACGTCATTGAACACTGCTATCAAATTAACGAAGTTAAGAAATATAATTAAAAGTGATACGTTAGAAGCTCAATATGCACTTAATTGGAATTTCAGTGTGAAGGAGATGCACACAGCTGTCAGTTAAGACATGTGGCATTTAGCTTGTCATAAAGTGTGTGTGTGTGTGTGTGCGTGTGTATGTGTGTGTGTGTGTGTGTGTGTGTGACAGTCAGTGATAGGCCTTCCCAGGGATAAACAGCAGATGGCGATAACTGAATGCAGGTCCTGTAATCAAACAGCTCTTCATTATGTGGCTCAGAGGTGAGTGCAGTCCAGCAGCAGCAATGACAAATCTAAGGATTTATTAATAAAAGAACTTCTATTTATGACTCAATTAAAAGCCATACAGCGGTTTGCCCGTGGATTCAACCACACATGGAATGAGATCTACACCAGATGGCGATACTTTACTATTATTATATCAGTGGAAGGAATCCCTGATGATGAAAAGCACTGTGGTGACAAAAATGCATACACACACCCTGACAACTAACTAAAGTTACATTGATTGTGACTCAAATAACACAGATATGTGTTTATATGTCACATTTATATATATTTCACTATATCCTGATAAACTTTATGTGTTGGCATGGGTGGTGTGAACACACCCTGCACCCATATGGACCAAGTGGGACCCTCTATACTAGGTAAAGGCCCCAAAGCCTTATAGCAATAATTTGATAGATCTATGAAATTAAGGCTTTAATTTAATCAATTGATATTGATTCTAAGATGTAGAACAGCACCTTTGAATATACAGCAGGGTGCCAACAACACACTCACAGCTGCCTTTGCAGTTTGGTTAAATGTGACAATTTCAGGGGCCTAAAGTTGAAGAGGCACATCATCTAAACCTGCCTCTGTGCTTGTTATTGTAAATCACATGCATCCTCTTATTGTTCCACCATAACACCCCAAAAACAATAAAATGGGAAAAATGTCTTTCTCTGACTTTTTTGTCACTTCTTATGAGAATCCCTTACTTTGTGCATTTGCTCTGAGTTTTATCCACAGTGTGCTGCTAAATTCAATAGCAATATATCTGCTTTCCATCTTTACAAGTTCGTTTTAACATTACAAGATGTCTCAGAGAACCATCTTCATTTAATGGGACAGACATCATTATAACACAAAGTCATTTCCTACAGGGAGTTTGTAAATATGACCAGATGATTTTTTAAATTTTTTTATCAATACTCAATTTCTTACTTGGCTTTTTGGTTCCATGTATGAGTGAGAAATTGTAAGGAATTGGAAATATACTTTTACTCATAGCAAAACACTTAAACACATATTGCAGAGCAGAGAGAGAATGTTCCTCGTGAGCCCACTGGGTCTAATAAAAACCACAATGAAACTGTTACATAACTTGGGATGACAGATAAGCGCACACCTCACAGAACACTTTACGCAGAAAATATGGTCTCTGCTGTTTTCATATCGATTAGATGTTCAGTCTCCTCTCAGCTCTGCGTCTGAAACAAAGGTTAAACATTGCAACAGTGACGCGTCCACGTCAGGAAGCAGAGATGCGCATGTGTTTTATGAACGAGGACAGCACGAAGAGGCGCAAATCATCCCCGAGCTGCTGACCGACGATGATTATAAACATGTGACTGCATGTGTGGCCGCTCACTTACTGCTTCACCTGCCGGGATAATATACTGTACACAGCGGACGTCTCTGCTCCAGCTCCCTGATAACTGCTGAGGGAAGGAAGATGGATACCACGGACCAAGGTGCTCAGATAGAGCCGCTGCTACCGACGGTAAAGAGCACTGATCTCTGGGGACAAATATTTACTGATTAATATGTCAGGAAGTCGTTTTTTTTTTTTTGACTGTCAGGTTTAATCTATGTGCTATAATAGTGGAAGACTAATGCTAAAATGTTATTAAAAATGCAACAATTTCTTCAGGCGGCAGATGCAAAAATGTTTAAGTTTCCATAGGGGATAAAGCACCTGTGTGAGCTCACCTGCAGAAACTTACAGAACTGACTCAAAAGGTTTGACAGCTAGCTCGGATTATTTTCCATCATTTTCTTTTAGTCTAATCAATTCTTCAGTGAGCCACAATGTGACATAATCTTAAAAAAGCATGATGTAAAAGTTACCTCCAGAATGGAGACTGGCACTACCAGGAGGCTTTCACAAGTTATTCATGTTTAATTATGATGCTTTTTTTCTCAGAGTAACAAGTCCACTGTTGGAGTGATTAAGTGATGTCCAATTACACTGTGCTATATAATTTTTATATATGACAAATCCCTGTTTTGACAGATGTCCTATTAATATAGTAAATTCAGAGGAAGTGACCCTGTGTCATCATGCTGTAATGAAATTGTGACATATTAAGGTTGATGTATATGTAGTGCAGTAAATGTATGGTTGGGTGATGCTGTACGAGTGCATGCTCAGGCAGCTATCGCACACACACAGATATCCTTTCACAAACAAACTCTATTCACTAAGTCTTTTTTGGACAAATTTAAATCCTATTCATATAAAAGAAAATAAAGTCTCTCAGGGGATGTTCTCAGAGACACGTGGGCCCATCCCCACTGGTCTTTGCTGATCATTTTGGAGGAGATTTGTTGTCATTATCCATTTGCTGTTTTCATCAAAACAGATTTTTCCATTTAGCTGAAGAGGTTTTAGACGAACAGGCTTTTAGACTGAGAGTTTCTTTGCCCTTGTACGATACTTTGAAAGCCACATGGCCTTGGTTACAACCTGACCTTAAAAATCACTGAACATTTAAGAGTTTAAAAATAACATTTCAGAGTAAATCTTTATCTGATCTGGAGAAAAAAATGTCTGGAGGGGTTGATTCCTTTCTAAATTACACTTTTACATTTATTTATACATGTATATGAACCCTTCAACCTGCTAAACTGAAGATATGATTTTTGATCTTTCAGGTCAACTCTTTCCTTGGCTCGTCAGTTGGACGTAGGAGTTTGGTGAGTTACAATCCTTTTACGAGGTTCACAGTTAAAAACTAGCATATAAAATGTAAAGTTATGTTGCACTGAGGATTTCTTTAAGATCCTACATAGAATAAAGACTCACTGGTGGAGCTGCAGAAACACTCTTGTAGTGACCAAGTTGATTTGATGTGACGTAGCAAGCTCATCTATAGCCTTACTTTATGAATCAAGCTTTGTCTTTAATAAGACGCTGCTGGGCGGCGGCGATGATGTCACAGCTGTAATCTCACAATGAGAGACTGGTGACTCTGCCGATAGATGCTCAATCAGAAATTACAGTTGTTTGACACAGCAGAGGGGCATCAGCAGCTACCAGGCATGGTGTGAGCAGGGCAGCAGGAGTTTGCACTGCAGAGCTCAGCGTGTTGCACTCGGTCTAAACTGAAAGCAGACGACACAGAAGGGAAAGCTCATGAATTCTGAGAACTTGGAGGCTCCTTGGGGCTTCAAATATCAGGTAGGACGACACTTGCTCGTCATCTTCAATATTGTGACAGCATGGCTAATGTACTCACTGGTTTATTGATGTTAAGTACATCTTTGAGGATTTCTTTTTTGTGTCTAACTGAGGGCAAGGTGTGTTTCACAGGACAGAATTTGTGGACATTTTGTAGATGGACCAAAATGAGAGTAAAATCCTGGCAAAATGCAAAAGAGCTTTTTTCCTGCTAACCACTACTGATCCATCATGCTGCTTGGAGATGGATGCAGATATAAAGGCTGCCAGAATGAGAACTCAAAGCTGTAAAACACCTAAATAACATTTATGAAAAAAAAGTGGTACTAATGTGTCCTCTTACAGGATGTTGAAGTTTATGGCAGAAACATTTAAGGATTACAGTGCCACATGAAAGCCTGTGCAGCTAATGATATTGCTGCCACTGATGGTTCCAAAATTGCCACAGCCATCTGTAGGGATCAGATCCAAATATGTGCCACATCCTGTGATATCACTTCAGCTGTGTGGTTTGCCAGTCCTTTAACATGATTTTTCTGGTGAGTAGATCTGTCATGGTTATGTGTTAATGTTAAATCCTGACATCTCTTTGTCCAATCAACCCCTTTAAATGGCAAAAAACAGAGTGAACCCACCAAACAGCTTTGTGCATGAGTCTGTTCATACACAGAACCATCATGAAAGTTGCTTCAAGTGGACCTTTGTTTCCAGAGGGCTTACATTAAGTGAGTGCAGTGCACTTATTAAGGAATATGAGGGTAAAATATCCTCCATAGGGGACATTATAGTTGTTTTAGAATTGGTAACATATCTCTTCAAGTTCTCTTTACTGACATGCAGCTTAGCCCAACAGTTAATCTCACATCCAAAATGCTCTTGTACCAGAACACTGACAACATTTGTCTGACAACAGTAACACTGTGTCACTTAGCACACAACAACACTAACAACAGGAAGGATTGCAGTGAGTATCACTATTGTCTTTGCAGTATCTTTTATGTATTTATTCAACATAAACCATGCCATTACAAGAAGAAGGGCATTTCTTTATGGATTATGTTACTTTACAGAGTGACCAGGAATGAGTCAGAAATGCCACAATATGCTTTATTTGTTTAGCTATTGTTTTCCTATAGAGTATTTACAAATGCACTAAATGAAACTAAAGTATTCCAGTAATGCAATACCAAACTATACCTATTTATTATACTTGTACAGGATATCTACAAATGTAGGAATACAACACTTTCTCCTGCATTTGGCCACAAGTTCTCATCCACATCTCACCTTAAATCCTCTGCAATACAACTGGCAAATAATCTTTTTGCATGTCTGATCCCTCACAATTGTCCAGACACCCATCATTAATTGCATCTAAGAAGCACATCTTATGTGACTGGTGGGCATAAACCTTCCACCTTCATGAGGAAAAGAATTCCTCTATACGGGGTTAAGGAATGGAGAGTAAGGTGGAAGGAAAAGTGACACTAACTGGAGTGTGACTACAGAGCTCTCATGGTGGAAAAAAGTTTATGAATTTTTAAAGATGAGGTCATTAAATCCATTTTGTGTCAAACAAATGAAAAATGATCCTCCATCCACACTGACCTTTGTTGTGAAGTGAACTTTTAATAAATGCGTGTAACCAATTACACAAAAACTATGATATTGTTTTTTTAGAAATGTAACCACTGTATGTGAGCACAGTGCAGGTTAATGTGGGCTTATGTGGCTGGTGTGTTGGTAACAAATACTGGCAGTTTAATCTGAGCAGGGATGTTGATCCATGCCCTGTATATTTGTAGACAGATTATCAACATCAGCCTTGTGGCCTGGCTAGCCCATGTGGCACTGCAGCTGTGAGCAGCAGTGCCCTTCATTATCATAATGCTTCGATGGTCAACTGCCGGCCAAGATGGTTCAGGGAAAAGCCGATATCAAGCTTTCAGGATACAAATACCTACTGTAATAAGTGCTTTGAATCTGTTTGTAATTTCCAGGAGAAAGGATTGATCCTGCAGAAGCCACTCCAGCAGTAAAAGCAGTTGTATGTTTGTTTTGCATTCTCAATCCCAGTTGTTGTTGCTTGGACTTACAGTAAATGACAGTGACAAATGAGTTTTACTCTTAAATCCATACCACTGGCGCACTAATCAACACCAGCATGGTGCCCAACTCCGATAAGTAATCGTGTCTAAATATTTACAGTGTTTATAAGTCACACATTCCACAGATCGTTCAGCAAACATTGCAGAAAATCAGTTGTTTGATGATTGTTTGCAGTAGTAATGGTTTTTCTTTTTTATTTTGTGTATGCGTTTATTTTCTCAGCTACAGTGTAAAATGTGATGAAACTGTTTTCAACTACACTGCCTGTGTTGCTCTGCATTAACAGTCCAACATGTTCATCCAGAGTGAAAATTGAGAATTAGTGAAGGCATTCATAGTCCAAAGAGGATCAATAGTTGAACCCCTTACCTTTAACCAAGCACCACCAATTGATCACAGTTGCATGTGTCAATTATTGTGTATAACAACATAAGCAACTGAATTCCTGTTAGCTTGCTACCATTAGCAAGTTGGTTAAGTAAACGGAATATAATACACATTGTTGTATTTGCACTAAGGCTTTTGCACTGATTAAACCAACAGGATAAGTGATATTAATTAGTTGGCACATTTTTTGTCACCTTTGGGACAGAGCTGTTTCCAGTCTTTATGCTAAGCTAAGATAACTTACAGAACAACCAACGCCAGAGGTATAAATCTTCTTATCAAACAAGAAAACGAACAAGTGAATTTCCCAAAATGTCAAATTCCCCCCTCACCCAGAAACGGCACATAGGTATCTTTTCATTTTTCATTCACCAAACAATTTAAATTTTTCTTGTGGAACATGTATTTGAGCCACCAGCCTGCCTGTAGACATTTGGTCCTCCACTCATCCATATTTTGAAGCGCGCGACTACATGTAATTTGAAAGTTTGCTTGCAATGAAAGAGAATTACCACTCAGCCCCCCTAATGTCAGCTATCATCAGCCCTTCAACCCCCCTTTACAGTCACATTTTGTTGGGCCTGAATATCTATCTATTACTCAAGTACTGTACTTTAGTGCAATTTCTATGTGCTTTAGTTGAGTATTTCCAGTTTATACTACTCTATTTTAATAGTTCATATATTTTGAAAGACAATTTTGTACTTTTACTCCAGATTTATTTGACAACATTAATTACTTTGTAGATTAAAATTAGTAGTATAACATAAATCACCTATACAATTATGATGTATTATTATGGATTAAGCTACATGGCAGTATATGAAGTTGATGAAATGAGTTCCACATTTAGCAGCTGCAACATCAAAGTGATGTGCACAGTATATCAGTAATTATAATGATATACATTATTCTGAAATGGGTCATGCATGTCAAAGGTGAAATTCAGCCTACCAAGGATTTAGAAATGTTTTACCCTAGATAAAAAAAAAGGTATGTATTAATATTTTGCCAACATCCTCCCAGACTTTCCCTGCAACCATGATGACACATTCATTTCACAGGCAGTGGGCGGGCTGTTTGTTTTGTTCCTATAGAGACTGCAGTGACCTCTCTGTACCCCATCTCAGCCTCTTTTTGTACTTCTCCATTCCTCTCCTGTTCATGCGTGCCTGTTTGAGGCTGCACAGTTTAGCTGCGAATGCTCATGCCAAGTTGTGATTGTGTGGTGGTGTTCAGATTTTAAAAATTAATCTGTGTAATGTTGGAAAGTTGAGTTTTTGTTCTTGCCTGCACTGCTAAGTGACAAATAATGATTTCTGTTGGTTTTACCGATTCTCTCTTACCACCTACTCCCTCTCATCTTCTTTCTGTATTACATAAGCAGACTGACATTCACACCACAGAATGCTGGTTGTCTCAGTGATCTGACGCTAATCAAGTAGATCCATGTGCTCTAGGCCATCTCCTGCCAAGGCAATGACTGCAGGTCTCTTGTAGAGCTTTCACAGAATTTAAGTGGTTGTGGTTAACTGCTAATTAACCTTTGTCACATGTGAAACAGCTGCAGTACTTATGAGGAGGTAAAATCCTGTTTGTTCAGTAGAACAGGATGATCTGTGGGAAATCTCTTGTGCTCAGACGGCCTTAATGACATTTTTAGCAGCCATTCAGTATTCTCTTTTGTAACTGGACAAAAACTCTGCACTTGTGTGGCCTGTCAACATGTGAAAGTTTGGATAACCTCCACCTGATTTCATAACTTGCGTGTCTTCTGTACTGAGAATTAGTAGCATAATATCAAAGCTGACAATCACACACTGGTTTATTTATTTGGAATATAGCCTGATAAATAATTTTATTTCTTTCCTCAAATTGTGTGTATCTTGTGGTTGTAACTGGTCTAGTGTGGGTGGTGGGTAGAAGAAGATGGATAAATCAATGATACTGAATTTACTTTACCAAACTTTTTGTAAATCAAGTCAAGCAGTGAGTCACTTTTTGAGCTTGGGTCTCATTAACAAAACTGTACAGGTCACTGCAAAGGAAGCTCCTCAAAACAGAAGTAAAACTTTAAATGTAGTTGGGTAATTTATGATTCCCATTTTGAAAAGCTTTTTTGTTTGATGCTTTTCAAGATTAGATGTGCAATTAGTATCCATTTGGTTGGAAAATGTGTTTGTTCACAATGTCCTCAACATTATTTTTATGACTCGTTAATCTAATTTCTTTTTTAAGTGGCATAAAGGGAACTATATTTAAATTTCATCGACAGCCTTGCTTTCTAAATGACAATAAAATAATGTTGAATCCTTGAATTTCATGCTATGTTCAGGACACATTAGTGTAGTAATGTTGTCTTATGTTCCACTTCCATCTGATAAAATACTGTATGACTGTGCTCTTGAATAATGTTTATAACGTTGAATATATGTTTGTGTGTGTGTGTGTCTGTTTGCCAATATGTTTCCAACAGAGGAATGATGACGAGGCTGTGGTGGACAGAGGAGGAACCCGATCCCAACAGGGAACCAACTTTGAGAAGGAAGATCTAGAAGGTACCTGGACGGACACCCAATGCATCTGGAATACAAAAAGCTTCAAGCAGTGAAAGGCTGCTGCAGCAGAGTCCGCCTACTCTGTACTTGCAACTGCTGCTTTCCTCTTGACAGCTTTTTCATAGTTAAAAGATAAGAGCAGAGTGGGAGGTAGAAAACTGTGGGTGAGCTGAGTTCGCATCAGTAATTTCATAACCAGTGAAAAACATGGACAATCAAAACAAAGATACAAACAGTAAGATTGAGTAACTTTGGGTAACTAAAGGCCAACAGCTTTCCCCATCTATATATGCAGACACAGTCAACAATACACAGCTTTTCAGCTACACTCACATTAAAAGTGTATAAATACTAAATATTGCCATAATGCAGATGGACTTTATGTAAAGCCTGACACTACTGTAAGTGTGAATAGTGTGTATGTCATGCATGCCTATTGTGTGTGTGTGTGTGTGTGTGTGTGTGTGTGTGTGTGTGTGTGTGTGTGTGTGTGTGTGTGTGTGTGTGTGTGCGCTAATCACATTGCTTCAGTAGGTTTGTAAACAACTTGCCTTTGCATATTTGATAGCACTCAACTGAACTGAACTTTTACTCATCAGTAAGACTTCAGTGCTTTAAATAGTAGTTATCAGGCACATTGTTACGGCTCCTCTTTGCAATTTCTTCCCAGAGCTCCTCCACAAAACTGTAAAATAAAAAGTTGTCAATGATCTTTGAGTTGAGCTGAGCTATTGAGATGCTGCAAAATACATACATAAGTGTAAGCAGTTGTGAAAAAAATGTGTGGCATTTATTTAAAGAATGAAGCTATATTAAACCCAAGTTGATTTGACCTAATAAATAAAATGATGTTAAACAGGTGTCAATAACTAATACAGGGCTTTTTAATTGTCAATATTAAACAACACCCTATGCCCATAGTTTTAAATCCAAAATACCAAATACAGAATATGTTGGTTAATTACTTGTGCCCAGCATTTTGGCAGAGCTGTACCAAACATTCTGGAGAGCACTGTATGTGCTGTATGAGGTGAATTTTCATGTCATACTGCAGTGAGCTGAGTGGGCTGACTTACAAGTGCAAACACAGACATGCTCTCTTTTTCTCTCACTCACGCTGTCTCATACCTGCACAAAAAACAAACATGGGCATGCAAACATAGTTGTGCAAGGTAGAAGAATGGATGCATAAATTAACAACCAGGCAACACAAATTATATCAGAGTATATGCATGTTCATAGAAGACGGTAGATAAAAAAAGAAATCTCTCATTAGTAGATAATTGTAGCATTCCATTTTACACGTCACGTATTTGAACCGTAAATTCACACTTTTCTTGTCACACGTTATGCAATATGCTTTCATGTATTGCCTAAAGTATACTATACGTATATACATACTATACTATACTATATAGACTATAACCTCCCTAGATCACACAAATAGTGATAATTTTTTGTATGTTTGTATATCAGATCACTTGTGCTGCAACTTTTTCATATTTTTCATTCATCACCAAAAACTCTATTTAGAAGTGTGTTTTCTGTCACACTTGGTTTAGTTTAGCGCTCATTTGAACACAAATTGATTCACATATGAATTGTTTGTTGGTTAAAGATCAATAATTCAGGATCTTTTATGTACTAAGTATGAAGTAAACATATACTTTATAATAACCAAACTATTATTTTCATCGAGGAGAGCATGATATGTCCTGTTTTATTTCATACATATTTAGGGACAAAATGATTATGATGTAGACTACTAAAGAGTTTTTTTTTTTTTTCATGAAGGTGGTGTGGTGGTTTAGTGTGGCTCTTTTTAGAAAGGAACAGCTCAAAATAAAGTATCTTTTCAATGAATCTTTGAGCAAAAGGAGGTGCTAAAAGATAAAAACCTTTTATACTCCAAAATAATGTTTTCCAACAACAGTCACTTTTCTCTTTATACAGAACCAAATGTGACTTCTAGTAAACACTTCACGTTCTTTATTGTTATTAATTTGAGATAATTTTGATAATGCATTATTGTACATCGATAACAGGTGGTATTAATTTGATGCTCAATGTGGGAGGGTACATTATATAGCAGCAGTAAGCATTATATTATTACATAATATCTATGATGCACTTCATCACAATAAAAATAAAGCTTAACACAAAGAAGTAGTGCTAAACCATGATCAGTGAAATCATAATGATTATCTGTAAAGCTTCTGAAAGCACACACACACACACACACACACACACACACACACACACACACACACACACACACACACACACGCGGACAGACAGACAGACTCAGGCACACTCAGACAGGCACGTTGCATTTGATCCTCCTCTAACCAGTGTGGGTGTGTCTCCAGGCCACAGGACTCTCTACATCGGGGTTCATGTCCCCTTGGGCAGTACCAGGCACCGCAGCCATCGCAGGCACCGTCACCATGGAAACAAACACAAGAAGAGGACCAGTGACCGGGGCCTCACCTTGGTGGAGGGTAGAGAATCTCCTGTTTATGGTATTTCTCCACAGTCATAGACTTGCATGCATTATAGCACAGACAGATATATCTTACTAACTGAAGGATTTCAGTTCGAACCACTCAATTGTGCAATTCCTTGTGTTCCCAGACACTCCCTCCCAGAGAGTGCAGTTCCTGCTGGGCACTGAGGATGATGATGAGGAGCATATTCCTCATGACCTCTTCACTGAGATGGATGAAATCTGTGTGAAGGATGGAGAGGATCCTGAGTGGAGGGAAAGTGCTAGGTAGACTGTAACGTAGCGTCTACACACATTAATGACCTACATGCCATTATTGAAAGCTCTGATTGAATGGAGCGGCCATACACATGATCCCACTTATACTGATGAAAGATGTAGCTGTGTGTCTAATGTTTGTATTCCCATTACAGTAAGTAATTGCAATTCATTGTTATAACTAAAGGGACATTAACTTTTTGTTACTTTCTCTGATAATAGTCAGTGTAATCGAGATGTAGACTTTATTCATCGCCTGAATTATGGTATTCTGTTAAAATGATAAATTATACATTTTATTTATACATGTATACAGGTGACATGTAAATTAGTAAAACTGAGAAAGAGAGAAAGACATATTGGAGCTAAATATGAGCAGAGAGGGACCCAGAATGTATGGGTGCTGTTTTTGCAGCTAGAACAGATGGCTGTCCGGTTTTGCCGTCTGCTGGCCTCTTCTGACTGATAGTCAAACTCCTGTTACAGGTGGCTGAAGTTCGAGGAGGATGTTGAGGACGGAGGGGAGCGATGGAGTAAGCCCTATGTAGCCACTCTGTCTCTGCACAGCCTGTTTGAGCTGCGAAGCTGCATTATCAACAGCACTGTGTTGCTCGACATGAGGGCTAATACCATAGAAGAGATTGCAGGTAACTACTGTTATGAGACACAAAGTTAATGTTATCTGTTTTCTTAATGCTGGGATTTTCTGCTCCTTACATTTGTTTGATGCACTGTTTGTAATAAAGGAATATTAGTGTACTTATTCTTTGCGTTAAGATCAAGTTGCACTGGACAGAAGCCTCAGCTAGAACCATGAAACATGAATGAAACATGCTTTTATGTGTCCGCCTTAGACATGATCTTGGACCACCAGGAGCTGTACTCACCACTGGGAGATGAGCTTAGAAAGAAAGTGCGTGAAACACTGCTGAAGCAGCACCATCACCAGAACCAGAAGAAGCTGGCTAATCGCCTGCCAATTGTGCGCTCCATTGCTGACATGGGTCGACGGACGTCGGAGCTCCACCTGGACAAGAATGGTGAGAAAACCGAAAAGCTGTGGTTCCTCTATTGCAGGGGTAGACAACCTGCAGCTCTGGAGCCGTATGCAACTCTTTTAACCCCTCTCTAGTGGTTCCCATTGGCTTAGATAAAAATTAAATGAAAATGAATAAATGTAAAGCCGTATAGCCATTACACACAGAAAAGACAACAATGTTTTAACTAAAATGTGAGATGTAATATCATACTTTACATCCTGATGCTTTCACCATCAACACTGCTGGGTCACTGGTGTGCTTGATCTGTGGTAAGAAATTTGCATAATAAAGCTCAACTATATGTTGTGACTCCAGAGTTTTTTGTTTTTTATTGGCCAAAATGGCTCTGTGATAGTAAAGGCTGCTGCTATATTGCAGTGGTTCCCAACCTTGGGTACCGTCTTAGATGATCTTCTTTCTAAATTTGTATTGTTTTTCTTGTGAATTGTTCGACAATATTTGGAAAATTCTTCTTCTTCAGGCCTTTATAATTTAATTTGTTTTAAGGGGTCACAGGTCAAACCACTGCTTTAATGAATCTGGTTTGTAGTGTTTAAGTGTGGGATACTTTGTGTGCAATGTGGGTGTGTGTGTGTTATAAGCATATGCTCTTAACTTGCATATATTCCCATCTTTTTTGGTTCTATCTACCACCCACCATCTGCCCACCCACATGCCATAGCCTTACTAAAGTCAGCAGGTGCTGGTTTATACACCTTTCACCAGCTTATACTTAAATAACATATTGTGGAGAGTATCCTCATGATTTGTGTGGCAACTCAAAATAGCTTGCTTTTATTGGGTTTAAGTGGTTGAGCAAAAAACAAGATTAAAAAACAAACTTCAAAAGTAAATTATATAAATATACACATTTGTTTTCTGTTGATCTTCGCAGTAGAAGAACTATTTGGTTCAAATTTGGGCTAAATTTAGTCCAAGACAGGCTTGTAGTTGGAAGAATTACTTCTCTATATCATTGCCAACTACAATTTGTAAGCATCAGGTTTGCCAACACTCCACATGACAAAATTAGTTACGCAGAACGCAGCAAATCATTTTCTAGTTTACTAGAAATCTTGGTGGCCCATCATGAGCAATTTAATTTCACTGGTGTGGCATTTTCTAGCTAATTTCAAAGAAACAATCTCGGATAAGCTCCACGTCATGCTTTGTGAGCATATTAAACAGTATAATTAGTGTGAATTTTTGACCCCGTTGTTTAATGCATACAGAAATTAGGCCAGACCTGTCAGGCAGCTTGGCAGTAATCACGTTAACGTGAGCCTGGATTTATTGAGACAACAATAGTGATAAAAATCTGGGTGGTTTTATCCACAACAGCACTCGTAAAACTGCCCTCTGTGATCTGTGTGTGAACCTCACTCTTGTTTCCCTTTCTAGAGATATCCTCTATACCATTTCATTCTCATTGTATATCGGGAGATCATCAGTTGCTGAAATGTTGACACCATTTTGGAATTGACTAATAATTCTCCCGTCTGGATTATCCAGGTCAGATGTCATCCTCCCAGTCTCATTTAGCGTGTTCAGATGGGAAAGTCGATCCCAGTCGAGAGAACAGTTCTGTGGACTTCAGCAAGGTACAGTACACACTGTGCAGTTGCACTGTAATACAGACAGTACTGTGTTTCTCAAGTTATGTGTGTAATATAAGAAAACTTGTGCTTTACTTAGGTATTTCGATATTATACTGCTTTATTCTACTTTCCACATTTTAGAAGGAAACACTGTAGTTTTTACTGTATTCATTTGTCAGGTATAGTTACTAATTAATTTTACATGCAAGAAATAGGTCCTCATATACAGTAAATAGGATGATTGACACCTTCACATACACACACAACTACTGAATGAGTGACTGAATGACAGGCGTGCAGCCCAAATGCTCAAATGCATCTCTTGCTCCTACAGTCATCTAGTAAGGGATTAGGATTATAACCATGTTAAGTAAGTATAAAAGTAATTCGGCTCTGATGATCTGAACATCACAACCCCTCAAAACACAGACAAAGATAAAATCCTCCGGCGTAATGTATGTGCTTTTATGTGCTTTTGTCCTGTTCACTGGAACAAAGTGTACCCGACGTATATGGAGTATACACACAGCAAGGAATAATCAGCAAAACAGCACTCTACCAGTGTTTATGTAAGTCACGACCCATCAATATATCAAGAAAATAATAATTCTTGGATGGTTCTGAACAGCCGCCCTAGAGCCACATGAACTCTATGAAGGAACAAACAACACTCCAGTCAACACTTGTCAACTCCACATAATTATCGCTGAAAAATCAACACCTTTAATATTCCAAAATATTCTGTACAATGGAGCTCCACTGCATCAAAAAGACTGGAAATCAGATTTAGCTACTGTAAGAGGATCAGTTTCATGGTCAGGGTCAACTTTTACATGCTTTTAGGCATCACAGTTGTGGGGAATGAAATATATCTCATCCTTATAGGTTATTATGCAACAGGTCAGGGTAACATCTATGTTTAAATGATCTTTTGTAGTATTTTATTTGAACACATCTGTGACTTATCTAATATTATGTCCTATGACACACAAAGCCTGGACATGCGCACTCAATTTCGACTAGAATCCAGTCAAACCATTTCATTTGGGATTTAATGTGAGGATACAATGATTTATTTATAGACTGCTTTTTCAAACATGAATGATCTGTTTATCTTTTCAAAGCATGCTCTCAGTCAAAGCAGCTTAGACGTTAAGCTAACGGGAAAGGGTGTCAAGGTCTTTTATATGTTACTCTTAACACTACTAACTGTACTTTGTGTCCTCTTTCAGATAGACCTTCATTTCATGAAAAAGATCCCCCCGGGGGCTGAGGCGTGTAATGTCTTAGTGGGAGAGCTGGAATGTCTGAACAAGCCGGTGGTGGCATTTGTCCGCCTTTCACCGGCGGTCCTGCTCAGTGGGCTGACTGAAGTCCCCATCGCCACAAGGTTCCTGCAGGCTGATTCAACTAAATTTGCTATACATATCTCTTTATTAACCTTAACATTAAGTAAATATGCATCTAAGTTAGTTCTGATTCAGATTTAATTTGACAGTGTATTAAAGAATAAATGTTTTTGCTCTCAGGTTTTTGTTTATTCTTTTAGGCCCAATGGGGAGAGCGCCTCAGTATCATGAGATTGGAAGGTCCATTGCAACACTTATGACAGATGATGTAAGAATTCACCGCCTTATAGTTTTAGCACCTGTAGGGTTTATTATTAATTAATGTTTAGAGGAGGATGAATTGTTTTGAATGTCAACCAGATGTCGATTTTCTGCAGGCACGTTTGCATAAATTCACAGTCCAGCAGAACTAAACAAATTCCTGAAGTGATAGAACATTTCTCAGCATGAGACACAGCACAGAGCTTTTATGACATGTTTTGGCGATTAGTCAGCCCTCATGTCCTCCTTTTTGTCCGGGATTTAGGCTGCCGTCCATTATCACTGAGGAAAAGATGGGCTTTGACGAATTCCAAACTTTGTTATACTCTCTTTGGAATCAGTCGGTTTGATGAAACTGCATGTTTTATAAGGGATCATTGTGAGTCAGTGGTTAATGCTGTGGTTTCATAGTGAGCAGGTCCTAGGTTTGATTAGCTTAACCTTGGCTGTGTGTTATGTTTTCCGTTGCACATGTTTATATATATGTGCATGTATCTTTAAGGATGTCAGATGCAATAGGAGTGGTGAGGCTTGCACATAGAGTGCAGCATATGCACTGCACTTAGTCAAAGTTTGAGTCAGGAGTGCAGCCATAATCAACCTCCTATGTTTCTTTTTCCAGGTTTTCCATGATGTTGCCTATAAAGCTAAAGACCGCAATGATCTGATTGCTGGGATTGATGAATTCCTCGATCAAGTGACAGTCCTGCCTCCAGGAGAATGGGACCCATCCATACGAATAGAGCCTCCAAAAAATGTACCTTCTCAGGTTGGTAAGAATTCAGTAAGCTGGTTGTCTTCTTTTCTTTAAAATTGCATGTGAAAAACAACCTAACTGCTGTGGATTGTTTGTTAAACAGGAGAAGAGGAAGAAAAGTAACATTTTACCAAACGGATTAGTAGAAGGTGATGACCAAGAGGAGGAAGGTGGCCATGGGGGTCCGGAACTGCAACGTACAGGAAGGTGGGGAATCACAAAGGGAAAGAAGTGTTCTCTCTAAGTGATACCAGATGTGGAAGAATTTTATGTATATAAATGACATAATTCACTCTTTCCTTATAGTTTTCTAAAATGTACATAGACTTTTCTAAAATCAAGCCAATAAACTGAAAAATATCACTTTTCTACAAAATGTACAATGCAAAGTGGATTGGCTACTTGTGGATAAACTTGGTCTGTAGTTGTAGTCATAAAGTGGTTTCCATAGAAACATCCTGTCTTGAGATGTTTATTTGCAGCTAGACTTTTCTATCACAGAGGCCTATCACACTAAGCCATACTTGGGAAAAGGGGAATGTAGGTAAAGCAAGTTAGGGAAAAAGAAAAAAAGTAATTGTAGTATATATATATTTTTTTTCAATGCAGTCAAAATTAAGATGAATTTATACTGAGAAATGTTATTACGGTATCTCTTATTTAAAGAAGGTTTCACATGTGAATAAATTCTTTGTATATTTCCAGGTGGTTCGGTGGTCTCTTTCTAGACATCAAGCGCAAGGCACCCCACTACCTGTCCGACTACACTGATGCTTTAAGCTTACAGTGTGTGGCCTCTTTCCTCTTCCTCTACTGTGCCTGCATGTCCCCTGTCATCACCTTTGGAGGGCTACTGGGCGAGGCAACAGAAGGACGCATAGTAAATCACATGGCCTTTCCTCTAAATGTTCACAGTGTTCTGTCAAGACTGGCTCTTGCACCGTTGTACACTGTACTAGACAACAGTTGTAGTTCAATATGGTGATGATTTTTAAAGTAACCGTCCATCAGTTATCTCTCTGTCTTTTCTCATTCCCCAGAGTGCAATTGAGTCACTGTTTGGAGCCTCGCTGACTGGAATAGCTTATTCCCTGTTTGCCGGGCAGCCCCTCACCATTCTGGGCAGCACCGGGCCAGTGCTTGTATTTGAAAAGATATTGTTCAAATTCTGCAAGTATGTTGTCTTTTTATTTGACTGTACCCTGTATAAATAATCACTCTGAATGACCAATGATTTCAGGTTTGTTTAATCTACACATTGCATAATTTTATGATTACATTGTCTGACATTTATCGGCTTTTCTGCGGGATATGTGGACACGAGTCTTTCAAACATCTGGCTTCTTATAGACCATTAAATACTCTTAATGTATTGACATTTAATTTGTAATAATGAATTCCTCCAATCCTCCACATTACCAAGAGTAAATAATCAATACATAACATGGTTTGTTCTCTGATATGTCCCACAGTGATTTTCACCCTTTTATCTCCACTTAGGGAGTATGGCTTGTCCTATCTGTCACTCAGAACCTGTATTGGTCTGTGGACAGCTTTCCTCTGTATCCTACTGGTGGCAACAGATGCCAGTTCCCTCGTTTGTTACATCACCCGTTTCACAGAGGAAGCCTTCGCCTCACTTATCTGCATCATCTTCATCTACGAGGCCTTGGAGAAACTCATCCACCTTGGAGACCACTATCCCTTCAACAAGAACAACAACCTGGACAAACTCACCATGTACTCGTATGTGGACACTTATTATTACTATACTCTCACACAGTATATTTTTGAAAGTAGTTAAAAAGAAGAATAAATACATTTGTTGTAGGTACTGTTAATCCTGTATGGTTACAGGGATTATTTAGTCATCCAGATGTTCATTTGCTTCCACAGATGTTCATGCGTTGAGCCTTCTGACCCCACCAACGGTACCCTGAAATTTTGGGAGCTCAACAATGTCACTGCCTCAGAAATTTACTGGGAAGCACTGGAGGCCAAGGTACAACCCACACCGGCTTTTAAAAAACCAAAAACAAATCTGTCGGTCATGAATTTTTGCGTTACACAAAGACAGACTGAAAAGATTACATTTAGGTTTTCCACCTTAAAGTGGCATGCTCTCCCAGATGGAGGAAGCTGAACAGAGGAGATTAAGGGCATGTGGGCTGGATTATATTGGATTACTCGCTGCAAATCACTATGAAAGCACATTTTTTTCATACTCAGTTAAGTTTTTTGTGGACATAAATCCTGTTTCTGGAAATGTAGTCTGCCGATGCTGGTTTATTGCTAATTATATGGTAAGGATAAATACCTACCCTCTACCTGTTGTTGCAGGATTGTATTGAGAAGCGCGGGGAGTTTGTGGGCAGTGCCTGCGGCCCTCATGGACCCTACGTTCCTGATGTCCTCTTCTGGTGTGTCATTCTCTTCTTTTCCACCGTCATCATGTCCGCTTTCCTCAAGGACTTCAAGTTCAGTAATTACTTTCCCACAAAGGTATTATGCTTTATACATTATCATTACATTAGATGATCCAAGCATGTAGACAAAGTTGCTACAGCTGCTGAACATGGCTGTGGTTATGAAGCATAGTGCAGTGCAGTGGTACACTCTAGTGGTCAAATATAGGTACTGCACACTAGAAACAAGGTGTCCTGTTTCCTGTAACCCTTTTGTTTCTGAATACATTAGGTAAAATAAATAAAACTGAATGATTTAGCTGCATTTGTACATGTTTTCCTCTTCATCAGGTGAGGTCCATCATCAGTGACTTTGCTGTTTGCTTCACCATCCTTACCATGGTCTTAGTCGACTATGCCTTAGGGATCCCCTCTCCAAAACTAAAGGTTCCCAGTGTGTTTAAGGTGAGCCACTCCTCAAAAGAAACTGTTTGCCAGATTTGTATCAACAAATTGCTATCTAACATCATAATTTCAACTATCTGCTAATTACTAATATTTATCTCTAACCAACAACAACCTTTTTAAAAAAAATAAAAAATCAGCCAACCAGAGATGATCGAGGTTGGTTCATCAACCCACTGGGGCCAAACCCCTGGTGGACCGCCGTCATTACGGTGGTCCCAGCTCTGCTTTGTACCATCCTCATCTTCATGGACCAGCAGATCACAGCTGTCATCATCAACAGGAAAGAACACAAACTCAAGGTACTTTCCTGTCCCAGCTTTGAACTCCCGTTGCAGACTGCATTAGTAAAATGGCTTGTGCAGCATCTGAATGCAGCATGTCTGAAAGTGCTGCAAAATTGCTTGACTTACAGTTTATTTACTGGGGCTTTCCCCTTTCAGAAAGGTTGTGGGTACCACCTGGATCTGTTCATGGTGGGGGTGATGCTCGGTGTGTGCTCTTTGATGGGCTTGCCCTGGTTCGTAGCAGCCACCGTTTTGTCTATCAGCCACGTCAACAGCCTGAAGCTTGAGTCAGAGTGCTCGGCTCCCGGGGAACAGCCCAAGTTCCTCGGCATCAGAGAGCAACGCTTCACCGGCCTCATGATCTTCACCCTCATGGGGTGCTCTGTCTTCATGACGTCTGTGCTGAAGGTCAGACACTGTCTTTTTGTTATTTGTGCATTTTGATTTGTGTGCAGTTATTCTCCCAGTATTATTGAATCTGATGTAAAGCATCCCTCTGTATTTGCTCTATGCATTTTTCATTGCTTCATCCTGAAGCCATTTAATGCTCCTTGGTTAATTATTGACTATAGTACAGTTGGTCTGCTGAAATAGAGCTGTTACTGACATTTTTATTGCAATTCAGTTTATTCCTATGCCCGTGTTGTATGGAGTGTTCCTGTACATGGGAGCATCTTCTCTCAAAGGCATTCAGGTAAAATTATTTTGTATTTAATGTATGCATCTTTTTTCACTCACATTATACTGTATGACTACATGGTGATACAACACTTGCCTCATATGACTGACTCTGGTATTGTCTTTGGTTTTAGTCGATTAAATGTAATTAACTGATGTTGAAAGTAAATTGAATCACACAAAATTTTGTATCACATACATTTTCTTAATGCTCACATTAGGATTGAAAACAGTGCTCTGCACTCACAAAATTAAAATGTGATTATCAAACACTTAAGGACCTGTGCAGAATTACTGTTGTAAATATTAAACTTTTTTTTTAGATTATCTGCATGGCTTAGATTAGACAGACAGTTGGTCTGTGTGGTTAAGTTTTAATTTGTAGACGCTCCGGATAATCTGTGTAGACTGTTAATTCTCATTAAGCCATGATAGGGAATCGCCTCCATATTGTCTGGTTGCCCAGATAAAAAGTGTTAATTGGCCTCTAGTGTGTTCCGAGCATTCACAGAACACCTGACTGTTATTTAATTGCCCTGTTTACTTCTTTTTTTCTTCATTTTGAAGTACTTTCTATTATTGGTTTGGAAAATTATTTTTAAATTAAGACAAATGTGTTTGGGGAAAAAAAGATCTTTATTGCACAGGTGTCCTTCTATGCTTTTCAGGAGCTCCAGCCTTTTGTAGTTACACATCTAGCAGACGCAGAGCAACTTTTAGCTTGATAAATGGATTTTATCCACCAGCTAGTCAATAACGATTGCTGTTTGATGCTGGGGAGACCCTTCCTACTCCCAAGTGGCCCAAAAAAAGCCAGTTATTGCAGGTTTAATAACTGTTTATCATTTATCCCCTCCAGTTCTTTGACCGCCTGACACTGTTTGGTATGCCAGCTAAGCACCAGCCAGACTTCATCTATCTACGACATGTACCCCTGAGGAAGGTGCACCTCTTCACCATCATCCAGCTCAGCTGTTTGATTATGCTCTGGGTCATCAAGACCTCCAAGGCTGCCATTGTTTTTCCCATGATGGTGTGTAAACAGTCCAATTATAGCTCCTGCAGGACCATTACACAGGCAGCATACCTTTCACCACACATCTAAGTGTTAGCAGGGCTCAGTGTGTGAGTACAGGTATGCTACTGGGGTTAGTAGGGCTCCTTCCATATACACTGGGATTAATGCAGGCCTTATATGATAATATATAAGCCTTATAATAATGTAAACTCAAAAAGACTTAATTTTTTCAGGATCATCGCTCTGTGGGTTTATTTCATTTTGTGAAAGCAGTTCCTGTTTACCAAAGCAGTTTGTTTGTTTGTTGTTATGGCTTTGTTAGTTATTTCATATTACTCCCAAAATAACACATGGAACATACTGACCTTATTTAAACAATAAGGGAGTCCATTTAAACTGATTTGTCTTTCATGCTACCAGTAATGTCTGTTTCCTATTAGTTTAAATCCATCTACCTCTTCAGCACAGCATTACTCCTTTATTTGGCCATTTTTTGTGTGCTTAGATGTTTCAGATCTGTGTCTCTATTCTGCAGGTACTGGCTCTGGTGTTCATCCGGAAGCTAATGGACTGTTTCTTTACCAAGAGAGAGATGAGCTGGCTGGATGACCTCATGCCAGAGAGTAAGAAAAAGAAGCTTGAGGACGCTGAAGAGGTACTATTTCTCTCATAAACAAACAGCTATAGAACAGCATGCAATTCTTTACATTTAAACTTTATTTTATTCCACCTCCAGGAGGAGGAGGAGCAGAGTATACTGGCGGAAGATGAGGCAGTAGTGCAAGTGCCATTAGAAGGGTACAAGTAAGTTACTTTATACTTGCAAGGTTTTTCTAAATGCCATTTCATGTACAGCACATATTACTTTGTTACATAAAGATGTAAATTGTTACCTGGTTTCTCTTTTCAAAGAGGAATACCCATCATCAATATCACAGATGAAATGTCAAAGGGTTCTTTTGGAAATACCTGGACAGCAACCTAAGACATTTGAGAAAGACCTCAAAACATTATGGTAAGACTTTTTGCTGTGTTGAATATACAGTTTATCTGGATAATGTTGTGTTGACACTGACCGAGATGAAAATAGAGTTCTTATGGCGAATTATAAAAGCAGCATCTTTTTGACTCAAATACTGACAACTTCAACTCAAAAACTAAAAAAAGAAACATGAAAATATATGATAATTCAATTAGACACTATGTGTGGGCACTAATACGCTTAGGTAAACATTTCAATAAAGAAATGGTGCTACAGTAGTATTTATCTCCAAGGTTGGTTGCCATTAACTCATTAAATATTTGGCTTAGTCTTGTGATGCTTTATATTTATCTGTGTATCTATCTGTTTTAATTTACAGAAATCTGTATAGGAAGCATTATGAGTCATTCCAAGTCAGGCACATCTTTTTTGTGTGAAATACAAGTAAAAAACTATGTGCATGTTTTAAAGAACATGTCCATTCATGTGTCTTTAATGCACTGAAAAGGTTTAAAGGAATTGTTTGACAATTTGGGGAATTTTACCGTAAAGTCATGAGAGTGGTATCAATCTTCTCCTGTAACTCTTCGCAAAAAAGTGAGTAATCACATTTCTCAAAATGTAGAACTGTTTCCTCTCAACTAGGACCTCTTAACATTCGCATGCTCAGCTCTAAAACGTGATAAAGGGAATTTGCAAATTGAAGAAGATAACATGGGGTATAAATGTAATCTATATGCAAAACAGATCTGCAGCAGAGTTCAGTAAGTGAAACTGTAACTCATCACCAGCTGCAACACCAACAGTTGCCACAAAATGAAATGCAACAGGCGTCCAGTGGGGGAAAGAAACACAGTACATACATTATTTTTACGGTTCTCAAGTAGCCTACAATTTTCAGGTACTTGTGCTTTAGTTATTTTTTTTTTTTTAACAACTATAATTATTAGTTACTTTAGAGAGTTTTCATTCATAACATGTGATGTAATAAGTAATATATACAGTATTTAATAATATAACACTCACTAATGCACAAGTTCTTTGACTTTTGATGCTTTAAGTACATTGTGCTGATAAAACTCCAGTGTTTTTTCACTCATATATTACCATTTTATACTTAAAGTTCCAGTGTGCAACATTTAGGAGGATCTATTGCCAGGCTTTTTGCATTTTTTCAATCAGTAACTACACTGCAAAATTCCACTAAACCCTACACACTGGACCTTTGAAGCCAAGGAAGGACATTTCTACTGCCTCATTTCATTGATTTCAAGAGGACCTAATCACCTGGACCTGGTATTAAGAATAACTATCTAGAAATAGCCAATCTTCTTACTGATCTTATTTGTTTCGTTAGGTCATATAGAGGCATCAGTATTAACCAGCTAAAGACTCCTTTTAGTAGGTTTAACACTAAGTAAAGAGTCTGAGTACTTCTTCCACCTACTACTTGTACACTGTCTTTTCTTTCTTGACAGTTCACTACAATGCAGTATTTCACAACACTGGAGTGCAAGATGAGGAATTTGAAACGAAGAAGATGGAGGACAGTGTGTCTGTGAGTGTTTGTCACTGTCTCTTCTGTGTGCTTGTAAACAAAATACGTATTGTATGTTGCAGTTTATTAATCCTTAAACTTTAGTCCTGTAAATCTCTGTGTGTAAGTGAATAACTATTATTTAATGTGTCACAAATATTCTGCCTCTTCATGAACCAGTGAAACCCACTATTTTCTTCTGTTGTTAATGTCAAATTTCTACTTTCTAAATGTAGATACTGTATTGCTCACACTGAATGTAAACAACAGAAATGTAATTGGTTGGTCTTGCTAAGAGACTGTTTTCAAGTTTTTGTCTTCGGATCAATTTGTATTTATTTTGTTATATACTTTGTATTTTGAAGTACCGTCATATCAACATATCCTTGGATTCTTTATCTATTTATATACTGATTCCCTAAACTTCTCTATTAACTTCTCTGTAGACTTTAAATATGATGCTAAGTTAAATGTAAACATCTAGTAAGTATTTTAAAAGCCTATTATATATAAACCCCCTGAAAAGCCATACATTTGTACAAATCCCTAGAACATTATAACATGAAAAGCTTGCAAAATACACATTTCTGATGTCTGTTTATCAGTTAGGACCATTTTGAATCTTATGTAATGATTTTGACTGACGGGAATGAGTGCTTTAAAGTGATCGATACAAGGGCAATATACATACATCTCTTAAGAACCAAATACAATAGCACTTTCTGCCAGAATCTCAGTACTCTATTTATATGAGAAATTATTTATCTAGCTTTATTTTGTGCAATAAAATGATTACGTTTGCTACAGAATACTTTGTAGCCGAAGAGACACTTGCGATATTTTGCCTCCTGGTGTCAGTGCATTGCTTATATTGTAAATATATAAACATATTACAATATTGTAAATTTAAAAAAAACAACATAATTAGTTTTAATGTTTGTATACATTTTAGTGAATCTTAAATTAAACCATAAAGACATTTAACCCTCAAAATTTCCCAAATCTGTTATACATCTGAGGATTCCAATGAATGGTTTATTTTTAAAGATACTAAAGAAACAAAATGTTATATTATGTATATCTTGTCAATGTTATTTTAATGTAATACATTTCTATGAGCACTCTTGTGTGTCCTGTCATTGTTACACATACACTCAGTCATAGATGGGTAACATTTTATGATAAGGGTTATTTATGCATCATGACTAAATTTTATGAATTTTGTACATTAAGTAACAATTTATCAATTACTAAATTGACAAGACTTGTCAGGGGACACAAGTCAACCAGGTAACTGAAAACGTGTCTCATTTACACCCACTATTACTTTATTTTGAAGACCTATGGCTATGTTTGCTTAAACATGTCTGTCTGTTCTCAACTGATCTGTCAAATGTCTCTTCTCTTAGAAACATTTCATCAAACAAAATGGTTTCAGTTCACCAGTCTCTCCCGTGTTATACTCCACTTCTTTCAACAACAATGCTCCTTGGCATAAACAAAGACTGTCTCTGGCTCTGAAAATCCCTATGTAACTGGAGTCCAGGTAATTGGATGGCATATAGATTAATGTTTGACCTAGCTGAGCAAAGATAAAACGTAAACATTGAACTATTCTATAGATAGAAGTAGGTAAAAAACAGTTGTAATATATGTAAAAAGCCACAATCACCAACGACAATGTCTATATATAAGTAGATTCTAAACAATACAAATAGTGCAAAAAAATAAAAACATTTGAAGTGTGTGGTACATACATGTTTATATACAGTATACGCAGCTTACAGGATTTGTGTTGATGATGATGGATGATATGTAGGCTATCTTAAAGCACAGTGTGTATTTTTTTAACCGTAAAATGTATTATTTGTGGGTAAGTGGATGTTTTAGTGTTACAGGACACTACATGACTGATTTAGCTGTTCATCAGAGTGATGGTCTGTGGAAAGACTGTTCTCTGTAGCGCCTACCAGAGGGGACAAGTTGGAACAGGTTGTGTCCAGGGTATGATGGGCCTGCAGTGATGTTTCCTGCCCGTTTCCTGACTTTTCCTGACAGATATGTATAAGTCCTGAATGGAAGGAAGGTTGGCGCCTATGGCTGTTCCTGCTCTGTCCTGTCCCTAAGCATTAACTAATCACATAAACTCACAGTGCCTTTAATGGTGAGCAACATAAATTCATGACACATCTTGATATGACACTAATTCATGCATTAAATGCAATCGACTTACGCAATAGTAAAGCATGTTTTTGTACCCTTGATACAACTTCTTTCATTGTATCCACAAGACTCAACAGGGATTATTTAGGCTTAAATTACATTTCAGATGAACAGTCAAATGATTAAGGGGGTTGCACATGCATTGACATGATAGAAACATCCATTATCAATGCTGCTAAGCATAAATATCCAATTTATAACCCTCAGAGATTTGGCCTACAAATAGACTGAAGTGGGCAGAGGTTCTTGAAATCAACAGATGGTTTGATGTGCTACAGATGACAGCTTAGAGAGGTGGCACATCCCAAAGCATGTCAAGCTGCTGGCTCATGTGAATTACTGTTTTGTCTCAGTGCCAGGAGGAACTCAAGAGTGTCGACCCAGTCAGTGTTCCCAACGAGTCCGAGTTGATTGACATGATTGCATGTTCTTTCATTTAGCATAACCCTCCTTGGCGTGCTGTCAGAGCATCACTGAGAAATCCCTCTCCAGTGAACAGCTGACAAGTGACACACATCATCCTGTTACCTGTTATAAATCCCACAGCACATTTCTCCCTGGAGAGTGATGTGTTTATTGATTTTTGTTCTGCCTGCATAAACAGAAGGATTTAGAGAGCATGACAGAAAAACCAGTGGTGCCAACTGTCAGACCGCGTTTCTTGGCCAGAAATTAAGACTGATGTTAACAATTATATTGGATAAATCTTTAAAATCCCATTTACCAGTCGACTGTGTAAAAAATAAATTCTGTGAAACTACTATTGATTAAAAAACAGGTGGATACTGTGCCAAAAACATCATCTTCATGTAGATTTATGTATGTAGATGTACATGTATACACTGGGATCTAGATTCTTGTTAAAACAATATATCAAAATTGATTTTTTAAAGAGGGAACTCATTGATTGTACACATTTCTTTATTGAAAACTAAATATGACTTTTATCTGAATAATAAGAAAATTGAGACTATCTACAGACGTAATTATCGAAGTTGCAATTTAGATCAATAATGTGATCGTAACATATTCTTACAAATTTATGTGAGGATGAAAATGCCAAAATGTGAAGTGTGAAAAGAATGAATCATGATGTGAATGCTTGATAAAAATTTCACAAAGCATTTATGATTGGGACACATTTCAAACATACTAACTTTTCTGCATTTTGACAACATTTCCTTCAACCACTGAAGGCAAAATTAGCTTCTGATGAGGGGAATTTAATAGCATGACCAAGAAAAAGCCTAGTACAGATTATGAAACATATAATAGCACAGAGTCAGTGTGAATTGTTGCATTATTCAGGGAGCTGTTGGGGCGCTCTGGTTGAGTTTACTCTCTTCTGCCTCGGCCAGTCTTCAGCCAGGACACAAACTCTTTGGCTGCCTGGTCCTGCAGGTAGGAGCTCACATCGCTGGTGTAGGTGCCGTCTGCATGGCGTCTAAATAGACTCCTGTAGGAAGGGACACATTTAGATGATATGGTCAACTGTATTTGTAATTGTGTTGCAAAAGGCTGAGTCCCATTCATATTATTTTGACAAAAACATGGCTTTGGAATTAATTTGATTTGATTTAAAATCACAGCAATGGTTCTGATCCAATACAAGAGGCATACATCAATCAGTATTAATGGAATTAAAGCTAAACTCTTGGTTTTCTCAATATATTACAGACTTGACTTACTCTATATTTAATATAATTTCACGGCATGACACCAAGTTGAAGAGATCTGATAAAAAAAGGACAGACTCACCCGTTCCTTTTTGAGTTCTTTAGCCACTGGACAAAGTCTTGTGCTCTTCTTGTCTCCAGGTATTTACTGTAGTCGTTGGAAAACGTTCCCTCTGAATGTCTCTTCATGTTTGGGAGCTCAATAGGTTCGGTCAGCATAGAGTTGTCAGGCAATAGCCTAGAAATGATAGATAATTAAGCTTAAGGTCACACAATCTCATCTCAAACACTCCTGTTCCTGTCATATGTTTGTAAATGCCTACCTGACCTGCATACTTTTTTGTTCTAATTTTCCGTGCCCTAGCCTCTCTGCCCCTCCCCTCTCTTGCAGGGTCCCACAAGAGGGTTTCTACTTGCTGAAGTCTTCACTGCTTCATCATTCTCATCTACCAATCACTACATACAATATACATATCTAGTAGTATTTTAAAAAAATCTCATTGATGCTGTGATCCTTGTTCAAAAGATTCAATTGCACTATGCAATACTTTTGTAAATTTAGTTTAGCATCAACAAGTGCTACAGTTCCCAATAAGCACCACGTTATAACTAAAACATAAACACTAGAATGCCCATACATGAAATAATACTAAAACAAACACAAAACGAAAGACAAACAAAAAGGAAAAATAAGTTGAGTTGATCTTACATGGAGTTTCGATCTGTATCCTGGTCAGGCACCTGCCAGCTGCTTTGGATGATGATGAGGAGCAAGAGTCCAGCCAAGGAGTGAGCGCTTTTCATTGTTTGAGCTTCTGAAATATGAGCAAAGAGAGAAAGAGAGAGAAAATATTTCAATAAAGCGTAATAAAAGATGTTAAAAGAAAAACTTAGTTTGACATCCTGGATGAAAGGAGGAGGAAAAATAAACCCACCTGTGCTCCTTTCTGTCGAGCGTCTGAAAGAAGGATTGTAAAGTGCGTTGATTGGCTCTCTCTTGGCTTCTGAAGCTGTTTCATGGTCCCTTCTTGATGTGCTCAGTTTTATATAGAGGAGCTGAAGAGCTTTCTCCCAGGTGACTACCCCGTCACAGAAACCCTCAGCATATCTTCTGTTACTCTCAACCCATTAGTCAGCTTCCGTCTCAGTCAACTAAATGTATTTGACTTTGTTCGAAAAAAAGAAAAAAGAAGAAGCAATATCTGAGAGCTAAAAGCTGCTGCTTTAGGTGTTAACAATCAAACATGACCTCTAAATAAATACTGACAAAAGCAGGCACCCATATGTGTTCAAATACTGTGTCCCGGTGTCATTAAACAATAACTGTCAGATATTTGAAATATTTTTGTTTAAAGTATAGTTAAACAAGAATAAACAATAAAGCTACTGTATATTTTCATTTTATTTTTAATACTATTTTCCAGTTTTCTCTGTATGACCATGTTGGATGAATATAATATACAAATTTCCCCCCGCGGATTAATAAAGTATTTCTAATTCTGATTCTGATAATGTAATAATTTTGAACTGTAATCTATGTTTATGCAGTTAGGATATATATAATATACTTAATGAATAATGAAACTGTTATATTTCAAAACAATGTTTATTTCACTTTCATTAGAACATGACAGCAACACAAATGATAACACTCCACAACAAATCAGTGCAGTGCAACTCAGCTTCTGTATGTCGTCATATTCACATAAAGAATGTTTTCAACCATTAATGCATGCAGTGGCTTTTAGAATATTTTAAATGTCACATATTTTGACAAATGTTCCATAATTTCATATAAAATACAAATACTCATTTGTACGAGCAATCGAACATCCATTGCACATAAAAACAGAGTTCAACCTGACACTTCAGAATATCAGTAAGATAAAATATACACAAATTAAACAAAACTGTGGTAATGTTCACTATAAATGCTGTCACATTCTTCACATCTATTTGGGATTAAGGAGGCATTTCTGCAGGAAGTGACTCATGAGGGTGTATGTGTGACGAGAAGCTGATCCCCTGAGAGCGTGGTCCTTGTCAGTGTACCACTGAAATTAACAGCAAAATCAGATTATAATTAATTATTATTCCATGTAACATTATCAAATTATACACATTTAAAAGTATACATATTTTAGAGAGTGAAAAATAAGACATGGCCGTTTTTTTCCCATTTGAAACGTTCATTAAATCAACACCATCAAGGCCAATATTAGTCCCACTTCCCTGAGCCAATATTTACCATCGCCTCAAAGTCCACTTGCTCGTCCACCAGAGCTTTGGAGATCTGTGCCGCCTGCTGGAAATGGACATTGTCTACAGGAAAAAGCAGTACTTTCAGTACGTGACTGAACATCAAAGCTCAAGTCTTCCATCAAGGCAAACAGAGTCTATTTGCGCAAGGCTTTACTGCATTACCTGGTACACTGTTGTGAAGCAGGGCTAGCACATGCTCAAAAACTGAAAAGAAGACTATTTGGATGAACGGACTGAACGGACTGAACGGACTGAACGTACCATCTGCTGTGCCATGAACCAGTAGATAGTCTACTGTTTTGAAGTTCTTTGCTCTGGCCGTCACAGAGGAATTCTGTTGAATAAAAGATACATTTAACTGTATGTTTCAAGTCTGAATTGTGCAGTATACTGAAAATATTGTATAATTTTTACTTTGTAAGCGTCTGAATTCTCCGTGGGTTTGCCCATGTAGCGTTCAGTGTACACAGCATCTGCAAAAGAGCACTTAAACTTTGATACCACAATTGTACAGTACATACTAAACAAACACTCACAGTCATTCAACAGAAGGAAAAAGGTTTTCAAAGTTGACAATAATTAAATAAGGATTTGAATCCTCAAAGGGGACTCCACTGATTTTACACATCAAAGTCTGATTACAGGTCTTGAGGAGTAACTACTGCATATGTGAAAAAAGAGACAGAGGGAGTTCTGTAGTCTGATGAACTGCCTCAAGTCGGTGGGGGAAAGAAGACTACAAGTTCAAAACAAAATCTGGGGATGTGGCGTTAGAAAGAAGTGTGATTACCAGACTCCTGTAGCCTGCTCCTCATCTGCTTGAGGCTAAAGGATCAAGGCTACATTAGCTGCTACTAGCATACCTGAATTGGACAGTTGGTGGTTGAGTTGCATTGTGGGTAATGTAGGCACCAGGTTTTGAAAAGGAAGACAAATGCATGGAATAAAAAAGATATCTCTGGTTCTGCTGCATCAATTTTGATACTTAAAAAACAAACTGTCAAAGTTCAATGACAAATCGGTGGAGTTCTCTTTAAAGTACACTGTGGAAAAGATGTGTAAGGAGGAAAGTATGTACACCCACCATAATATTCCCACTTGGCTACTGGGGCAACTGCTATTCCACACTTGAAGAGTCCAGTTCCTGCACCCAAGGCCATTGAGGTGACGTAACCACCATAAGACTGAAGATCAGAATAGGCTAAATTTAGTAAATGCACTGAATGAAAAACACTGAATAAAAAGATCAACAACTTACCCAGCCCCATATTGCTATTCTGTCTTTGTCGATAAAACCCATGTCAATGAATTTCCTACAACACAGAAATAAGTTATTAGTTGTTAGCTTGGATATCCACTAAATCAGATATTTGCCTTTTTCTTTTATAATTTCTTATGAACAGGAGGCATTAACTTAGCTCTTTATCAGTCAGTGATATGTTGACCTTAAACAGGGTTTCGGGGGTGGTATTTTTTTGCAGCACAGACGCTACTGAATGATCATAAAAACATTGAAGTAATATAATAGGAATAGTACAAGCAGCAGTGTGTCTCTATGATGCTCTTGCTCTTACTCTTCTACACATTGGTACTTTGATCATGAAGGTGAAGTGTGAGGTGGGTGAGTATTTATAGTATATAGTATAGAGAATATTATAGAGAATAGAGAATACCTTTATTGTCATTATACACATGTACGATGAGATTAAAAAGCCAACTCCAATAGCAGTGCAAAAACAGTATAAAAAATACACAATATAAACATAGGACATAAATAGTACAAAAAAGGATGGGAAGGTGCACAGTCCTGAGGAGTATGTACATTTGCAAAATAAATACGGTGCTATATACAGTGAAATGGAGAGCCGTAAGCCGATGCAACCATGCGCGCCGCCATTGCCAATTTTAGTTCCAAGACGAACTGACAAGAGTGTGTGAATGAGAGAAACAACAAATCCGTCCATTGTATTGTACTGTATTTATCAATACACAGCTCAGTTAGGCTATTGATATTTCAGAGCCACAGCTGGGGCCATAGATTCTTACTCGCACAAGTGTACTATTTTGGTAGACAAGAGTATTCAAGGGCACATCAATAATAGCATTTTATTATATTTATGCACATCCAGAATACAACTTTTAACACACTTAAGTTGTTACCTTTTGAATATATTATATATGAGGTATACTATAATAAATAATGTTTTGTTGTTTTGTTTATTGCTTTTTGTTTTTCTTGGGTGTATGCGGACTGAGGGAAAGCATGGGGGATACACTCAATGTAAGTATGCTTGTATGTCTACCCATTGGTGCTGGTTATTGTACACTTGTACAACAAAAACCTCAAGGATCAGTGAGTTAGGCAGACTAGACTAAATAATAATAATAATAATAATAATAATCAACTAAACCAACCCTCAGCACACTCTCTGCTACTAGGGGATGGAGAGGGGGAATAGAAGATTAACCAGGGCGAGGCAATCCCCCCTCAAACTGCCTACTGCTTATCATACAGTTGGGTGCATGTGATATCGCACAGCCGATTGAATGTTCAGACACACTTTACCTCACAGCTGTTATCTGATCTTCAACTTCAAACGTTCCAAGGCGCTTGTAGATTGCGTGCAATATTTCATCACCTTGGTAACCACTTCCCCTTCCATCAAAGCTGGCTGTGATGATCCCGTGTGAGCTGGAGAGGTACGTGCCCCAGTTCAGCTTGAAGCGATAGTCGACCCGCTGACTACAGGGGCCACCATACCTGCACAGGTCAGCAACAGCATGTATTATTAAATGTTAACTAACTAACTAACTAACTAACTAACTTGGATGCAGCACTGAGGAGTTTTGTTTACTTACACATCAATAAGAAGAGGATATTTTTTAGACTTCTTGAAATTTGGAGGTAACATCATTTGATACCAAAGATCTGTTGGCAAAAAAAAGTTATTAAATGTTAAAAAGACGTTTATATTTATGTCAAAGGTTTCATTCCAACATCAGATAAATATTACTGTTTCTGTTCTAAGATGTCCTACAATAAGAGGACAAGATGCCTCAACACGAATCCACCAAAGTAAAACCTAATTTAAAGCTCCCTACATGACAAATGTGTATCTAAATGTATCTGTTACTTCACATGTATGTTTGATTTTCACTGTGCAGAATGATGTATAGACAGAGTTTAACACTAGAATGCTGTTTTCATATATTTATCTGCATAAATATGTATAACATATAAATCATAGATTATTATTCAAAGCAGTTTTTATATGTCTTCAACGATTCTGGAGGGGATATTTAAACATGTATTGTCTCACCAAATCCTGCAACCTTTATTGTGCCATACTTCATTGTTGGCATTAGGAATTGTGACAGAATATTTTCCAGATCCTTGTTGTCCTCAAGAACGGAGAGCTCTGAAAAACAAGGTAATAGAATAACAACTGGAAATTACTGATGTGCACAAAGACTGTTTGTAACCTTTAAGAACTTAAACCTCCCTGATATATATACACTGTATGCAGCAGGGCCGGGCTGTCGCTTGTGGCGAACACAAAATAGGAGTTGGGCCATTCCATTCGTTGGGGCTCTCATGAGACAATGTTTTTTTTTTTTTTTTTTTCTGTATCTGTATGTTCAAGTCAATCTATACAGAACTGAACATGTGCTTACAAACTATGACCAGTGCATGAAAATAACATGAGGGACAGCCTGTAATGCACAATGTTAAACATTCAGCATTCTAGTATGGTTTGAAAATGTGCATTTTCGCAGATTTGTTAAGCTTTATGAGCCTTTTAATGTGTGAAAATATGAAAAATAACAACAAACAACAATTTGAAATAGAGCCAAAGAGAGGAGGTTTTGTTTAAAATATCATCATAAACACATGATGGCCTTTACCTGACACTGAGAGGTGTATCAGTCCCTAACCGTTGTGTAATTATTATTATTATTATTTCTGATTACAAGAACAGAAAGTCTGGTGTACATTTAATTATGTGTTACAAATGACAGTCAGTACAGAACTGAATAAAAAAAACAACACTGCATTTGTGTACATTTATATCACACACAAAGTGAGATGATAATATAAACTAACTGTAAAATTATGCAAGTTTAATTAAAATGTTGTTGTTCAAGTAGACAGACCTGCACCTGGGCCCCTGTTGTCCATTAGTGCGTAGCGGGGAAACCCAGGTCCTGATAAAAACAAAAATAGAAAATTGTTGATTATACATCAAGTCTTCTGTACAACTTCAGAAGTGACTGTTTTAGCTCAGATTATTGTTCACAGATGCTCCCCACCACAGAAAATCCCAACACACAGACCGTGGATGACTCATTGCTTAAGAGGAAATGTAGATGGGTAACTGACCGTAGCAGTCCATTCGGAAGTAAGAGGCATCAAAGCTGAAGTAAGCAGAGTTGTACTGACACCTGTCCTCATTCAGGCCGCAGGTGAGGCACTGAGGCGCAGAAGGGCTGCTTCCAATCATAATCCTGATAAGCAAACAAGTAGCAACTCATTCAATTTATGCCAGTTCATGCTAACGTTGTAATATTGTAATACAATTTGCTCTTGTTGATAGGATCCCAATTAGCTTCAACTAATGTGTTTGCTAGTCTTACTGGGGTCCACAGATACACACGTACATGGAAATTAACTGGTACAAAATGAAAACTAATTAGGAATGTAAAATGCTGAGTGAATAAAATTAAAAAAGAAGCAATATAACAAATTAGTTTAACCATCACACAGATAAGAAGAATTTCTTACTTGTAAAGATTTCTCTTCACAGGTATTCCTTGGTACTCATTACTCACATAATATCTGTTGAAAAGAATTTCACAAGTCAGATTTACATGTCTTTACTTTCTAATATTCTTTATGTAGATTTCTCCCAGATATGTATGGTATCATCACTCACATGGCATCTCTGGTTAATTTGGATATGTAGATGACTTCCCACTTCCCAGAGGTAATAGGTGTTGCTTTGCCCTTAACGAAATGCCCTTAGTGAGTATAACACCCAACACCAAAGACATGAGGAAAGCTGCCGTGCAGTATATTATCCACAAATATAAATGAAAAATACTTACATCTTTCACATAATGAATATGTTTGTAGCCCTGAGAGTCACTCATCACTTTGTAGAAACTGAGTTTATCTTCAGCAAAGAAAAGAGGTAAGGGCACGTACTGAAAGAAGGTGATATTTTATAGTCACACACCATTAAACAATTAATTGACAGTTAACAATCTATGATGGGAACTTTTTGGAACTTACATGGCCGACCCATCCTGTCTTGCTTGTTTGCTCAAATTTCTACAGAGTAGAGACATTTATTAAAGTTAATTAGCATTTACTCACATGGACATTAAGTCAATACATATGTCTATGCCTTGAGATAATCTGATTGGAGACATTCATGAGTTCCTGACCAGACAGGTAACCACAAGAAGTCCCATCTACCTGTGTTTCTTTCCAGCGGCTTCCATCAAATTCATACGTCTGTACAACCACGTAATTCTGTTTTCTTGTGAGCCACTGCACAGTGACGCGTTCGTCTGTAAGCCAGTTCACTGAGCACAAAATGTGATCACTGAGCAAAAGGCAATAGAGAGTGACAAGGTTTTCAGATAAGACAGAACATGACAACATTGCATTTGCCTGTGTTTGATTGAAGTGATGCTATCAACTAAAGAATATACAGACCCAGAAGCAACAGAAGCTGGGGCAACCACTTGTGTGCGGCGGGATGGATCTGTGGTATCAACCACAAACAGTTTCACCTTGGTAAGGGGTGATCCAGCCTGCACCAAATACATTCATAATAAATAATATTATATGATGCCCATATAATGTGTGCTATATAAATAAATATCAGTGCATAATATTGCATTTAATCTCCTTTTTCCCCACCTTTGGGTAAGGAACAGCCACTGTTTGAGGATACTGCTCAGATCCATACCAAGAGAACTCCACTCTGTGGACGTCTGTATCATTAAACTCTGCATAAGCCAAGAATTTTCCGGTTGTTGACCACCATATTGCCCCGTTTGATGCAAACACTTCCTCTGAAATTGTTGGAGAAAAAAAAATCTGTAACCATCTTCAATAGACGCACACCTGAAAAACTGAACGTTACTTACCCTCATATACCCAGTCAGGGACACCATTAAGGATCTCATTCTTTTTCCCATTGTAGGTCACTTGTACAGCTTCAGCAGTGACATCGGATTTGAAAAATATGTTGAAGTCTGAGACGTAAGCCTTCAAAACAAAATGTAGTTATAGTTTTTGATGATTTTAGTATAAATCCACACCTCAGATTCATAACTTTGCCTCATCAAATACACGTTCTACAGAAGTCTTGCTGGACCTGATATTTATTTTGCAAAATGAAACAAGTCCTGTGTTTCCTCACATACCAGGGCAGCATATTTCAAAGCCAGTAATGTTGAAGTAGCTGTGATATTGTTCACTTCAACTGAATGCGAAGACAAGGCTACGTGATGATTTGTGATAAACTTACATATTTGTTTCCTGTTGGGGCCCAGGCAAAGTACTGCACAACAGTCGGAAGACTCACAGGCATAACAAATGTTCTGGAAAGAAATATTAAAATAATTTATGGTGATCAATGCCTACTAGTATGACATGTCTGTCCATATAATCATAGATAATGTCCGTTATATCCTGCAGTTCATTAGTAATACTATCAGAATAAAACATGTCAACTTACGATCTCTCCCTGTCAAAGATGGAGTAAGAGGCCGTGAATGAATGCCTCCATTTCTGTCGGATTGCAAACACAAAACTTGTTTCAGACTTTTGTTATTAGGTTTTTCTACGATCAAACTTATCGGTGAACAAAAAGTCAAAACGTTTCATTCACTGGGAGTTTCTCACCTTTGTGTAATTGCTTTCAAAAGCAATGTATTTATAATCACCTGACAACATGTAATCACTGGCATCCACTTGAGCCTAAATGATTAAATATTAGTGTAAAATATGAGTTATTCAGGATTCAGAAAATAGTGTTTATTATTACAGAATGTGAAAATATATGTAAGCTATATTACAAAGGTTGAATTGCTCAAATATAGTGACTCCTCTTTTGTTTCAGCATTGTGGAGGAAGACATTTCCATCTCTTTCTTTGTGTAGATACTCCTTGTCTGCAGATATAAAAGAAAATCAATACACCTGTATTGAGAGATTTGCACACAATATGAAGATTCATATATCATCTGGGACAAAGGAACAACCTGTACAATATTAGTGATACCTGATATCCAATACAAATTGTAGGATTTCCACCTAATGGTGTCATTGAAGTAATCCTCAAAGGTGTATGGCCTTTTGATACCATCAGATTCTGAAATGATGCACACAGTTAATTTAGTTGGCACCAGTGCTTGTTGACTGTATTAGAAAAACTAAAAGTTTGCAAATGTAAAATGTAAAATAAAATGCATCAGTGCGTCACGCGGTGGCGCTATAAGAATTGCAACCAGCTGCCTACTTTTACAGTGATAACTCACATAAGAGGAATTTATTCATCATATCGTCATTCTCCTTTCATTCACAAGCTGGTTATGAATCAAATCAATGCAATAAGATGCAAAAAAAAAAAAAGTATAATAAAAATGCAAGCTACTTACAAAAAAAAAAAGTATGTTGGAATTTAATTCATGAATAAAATGGTTTTAAGTTGCAGCTGCTTTAGGGTTATTTACGCACTGGACTCGAACAGGAAGCACAGACACAGAGATAAAGACATGCACAAACAGGCCTGAGCTATAACTTACTGCTGAAATAAACTGCTGGGATTGTTATTAACGTGATGACGACAGCCCCTACCACCCCCCACAGCACCTTGCTGCAGCCCTGTGAAAGGTGACACAAAAGTTGCAAAAGAAATCCTCACAGAAATCACACAACAGAAATCTGCTCAAGGTCTATTCATTTCTCCCGACAACGAGCTTCACCACCGCAGTCCACAGTAAGTCATCCTGCATTTACAAATGTTGTTCTTTTTATTTAAAGTTTACCCCCCCCCCCCAACTACTGAAGCTGATGGTAAATCGATTACTGACCATGGTGCAGAAGAAGAAGTAGTCGTCGTGAAGCTCTCAGCCCTTGAATAATCCTTGAAGGGACGATGTGAAGTTTAAAGTGACTTCTTGGTCAAGCAGCCCATCGTTAACAAAGGCTCTCAATACAAAAAAAAAAACAATAAAAAAAACCAAACAAGCCTAACAGTGGCTTTACACTAAAGCTCCGTCTTACTTTAGTGCTTCTCACACTTCCCGCTGCATTCCTGAGAGGAGTCCGACACCAGACAGAGATGACTCCCTGAAGTCAGCAGCCTGCACAACTTTCCACTTTCCAAGAGCGCACAACTTACTGGTATTTAGGAAGTGGCTTTTTCACAGACGGCGCAAGTCATTCACTCTCAGCAAATGTGACAAAGCAGGAAAAACTCGGCAAGAGCTTTACCTCCCAGTTTAATTCAAGTGTGTGTTTTTATTCATATTTTCCAGTTGTGAAAATAACCATAATAATAGTGTTTTTCTCACTTCACTCTCAAGGAAGGGGCAGTTTTTATTATATTGTAGATGAATTAATTAGAATATAAATGCAGTAAAATAATAATAATAATACAAAGACAGATAATGGGCACACTTTTATGTTTCTAGGATTTGTACAACTTGCACCCTGTTTGTATGTCCCAGACAGTCAGAGCCATAGGCTGTCACACAGGTATCTATCTGTATGAGGAAACTAATCTTTAAAAAAATAGTTCTATAAATAACTGCTCTGACTGGCACTGTAGTGACTCATTACCAGTTGGATTTAATGGAAACTCACCAGCCCTTGTTTGTCTGCATGTGTGTTGACAGGTGGACTCTGAGGGGCTATCACAGGCTCAGTGGCTCCAATCTCACGAGACCACAGGGGTTTGAGAGGATGTTTTTTTTATTAAATGATTTTTACAGAATTTCAGCTGTAAATTCAATTTGTAGAGGGCCGATACACCAACAATCCCAGGGCAAATTTACATTTAGACAATTTTACATATTTATGAAATAAGCCATTTACCAATAAAATTATAGAAATATTGTACATGCACTGGACAAAATTGTTTGCAGCACACATTTACATCCACCAGTGACTCCAGTTATCTTGACAGTGTAGCACTCAAAAGGAAACATTGCATTAACCAGGGGTAAATGGGTGAATAGGTGCAGTAATTCACGCAGTGCAAGACACTTTGTTGAGATAAGAACAGAAATCAGTGTTTAGGAGATTATCAGCAGGTCATAGAGTCTTCTTCATCGGAGCTCTCTGCTATTTTGCTTGCGTGTTCGGCGTAGTCAAAGGCGGAAAACTTGATGGCGAGCTCACTCCACTTGGTGCATTTGCTTATCTTCTTTCCACTGAGTGTCACCACAAAGTTTTTCACGTGGAGACATGGGCATTCGATCCCGCGATAGAGCATCATGGAACCCCATCTCTGCAACGGGAATCAGATGTTAAAACATAAAAGCCTGCATCGAGTAAGCAAAGGCTTGTTCAATGGCAACACAAATTAATGTTTACATATCTGAAATATAATTTCAACAAACAAAACAAAAAATAAACCAGAAACTAATTACATGTGGGAGTCATGGGCTTAAATAAAAAGATTAGGAAGTTTTATCTCATGATTTTCTGACTCATTTTCTCTGACTGGTCTTGAGTTATTTTCCCCTTTTCTTTTATTCTGTTTAAAAAGACAATCTAGTCTCTCTGCCATGGTGCACTTGGCTTCATATTGAATGGACACACACAAAAAGTGGTATCAGTCCTCTCAGCAAGAAAGAAAATAAGCATATTTCCCAAAACAACTGAAAATCCTGAAATACGTTTACCTGCCCACAGTCTTTGCATGCTATGAAGCCATTGGTCTCATAATCAAGAAGTCGCTCTTGAAGAGTGGTGTTTTCTCTCTGAATGAAAAGTTCACTGTAAAAAAGAAAAAAAGAAAATAAGTGTTTGATTTGATTCTGGATCAATTTATCATCAGAGCATAATGTAAAAGTCAAGTAATTTGTACCAAAACTCTGGTGTAAGATTGACTCTGTGCATATTTTCGATGATCTCGATGTCTTCGCCGGTGCAGACATGTTTGCTGCAGCCTCGGCAGCTGAACTTCACTTCCGACGGGTTCTCGTTCTTTACGCCCTTCTGCTTCTTCTTTGTCATTCTCACCTTCTCCTCCATTATAGACTGCATCTGAAACTCTATGATCTGATTAAAGGAAAAACATCACTGAGAACAGTATGGGTTTCAGTTTAAAGGGTTAGTTCTGATCTTTCAAGTGGGTGTGAATGAGGTCTTTATCCATTGTCAGTGTATTAAGAGTAATTCTACCTTGCAGAAGGAACTTGTGTTCTGCAAGGTAAAATAACTGCTTTCAACTGTCAAAGGAGTATGGTGTCTTTGGAGAGAGCGACTTTGGTTTCCCGTTGGAAAGAGCTGTCTGACGGCAAGGGAAAGCGGTGAAAATTATCTAAATATAGTGTGCACTTAAACTGATAGTTGTTAGTTTTTAGTTGGGGCTTTTTTTAGGGGGCTAAAATAAGATTTTCTGCTGTCCCCGTCCACAACAGTGCATTGTTTAACTTCCATGCTGGTCCTCCTGGCTGTTACTCCACCCTTACCCTTTAAAAACAGTTTGAAGTGAACATACCCGTTTGTCATAGTCCGCTTGATTTAAGGCTCTGATTTTGTCAATGGCTTTGTTCATCATGGTCTTGCGGTACTCATTGACGCACTCCTTTTCAGCCACCCCGGAGTTCTTCACCTCGACCAGAGTGTAACTGCTGTCCTCAGCTCTTCCTCTGCCCTGAGCCTGCAAAAGGTAAAGGTGGTAACCACTTTAATATTTTACTGTAATAGTATAATGATGCCTTAATTACTGGACACAGAAGTGACATACATTTGACGACTGAAATCACTGACCTGAATCATAGCAATCTCATTGGTCACAAGGCCATATCGGATAACAAAATTGCACTCTGGTATGTCCAGACCTTCCTCTGCCACTGTTGTAGCAATCAGCAAGTTGACTTCACCATTGCCGAATTTGGTCAACACATCCTTTTGCTCTGCCTGATTAACACAAATTTGTTTTGATAAGGTTAAATGTAAATTGGATTTGATGCTAGAAGCAAATGTACTGCAGTTTGCAATGTAAAGTGCACTCACAGAGGTCATAGGTTTGACAACGCTCTGGTCTCCTCCTCCAATGACATATGAGGCTTTCACTCCAATGTCAGCAAACTTGGGGTTTTCCTGAATCCACTGACTTAGAGCAATGGCACTGCGACGTGTTTTGGTGAAAATGATCCCTCTGGCCGCATCCCTAGTGCTGAACTCTTGCAGAATTTTTGCTCTTAGTTTTGACAGGCTATCATTTTCATACTCTGGATTCTCTGCAAGCTTCTGCAGCTCTTCTTTGTTGTCTGCGAGACATAGATTTCAAGGAATTTTGGTAAATGATGTTTAAAAGATTAAAAGATTCATTCAGCATTCTGAGAAATACACTTACTCGCTGTCTTGCATAGAGTTAGATGAGAAGGACTATACCGCATTCGCATACCGCAAGCTGATTCTTGTTACCTTTGAACAGAGCCAGGATAGCCATTTTCCTCTGTTTCCAATCTTTATGCTTAGCTAAGCTAACCAGCAGCTAGCCTTACAGTACATTTACCAAACAGATAGTAGAGTGATATCAATCCTTTCATCTCTCGGCAAGAAAGCAAATAGCGTTAAATTCTGTAACATATAACATTATTCAAGAACGTCATTGTTTCAATTCTTTGGTAATACATCAAGCCAGTACCTTTAAATAAATTGAAGAGGAATCTCTCAGTATCTGTGATTTGTATGGTCTGCTCCTCGTCTGGTGTTGTCTTTTTCTTTATCTCCTCGTCGTAGAATTTGTTCAGGAAGCCGAACGAATCACGCATGCGAATGGTGTTGCTGAGATTGAGGCCCTCGCTGTACTGACGAAGGTGCTCTGCGCAAACCCGCACTTTCTGATTTTCCTCTGTTGCAGCTAAAATAGATCAAGACAAAGTTTTTAGATCCCTACAAGACAGGTAATTTGTTATCAAAAAGGGACACTGAACAAAGGGTAAATATCTGTGAAGATAAACATGTTGCTCACCTTTTCTCTCTTTCTGAACAACCCACTGTTCATAACTCTGAGAGCCAAGGTCACAGTTGGGGCTCAGCTCAGCATGATTATGAATGGCATTCATAATTTTCTTGATTACGTCACCAAAGGGATCCTGAAATGGATATTTGGTTATATAACACTCTTATGGGTACTGCTTAGAGAGAACTAGACTACAAGATTAAATAAAAAAAACATCCTCCTGGTAAACACAAGTACCTCTTTTCTGTCTTCAACAGTTACAACTATTTTCCTTTGTTCCTTTGTGAACTCCCCAAGGCTCCGTGTCATGATTTTGGAAGCATCCAAGTTTGCACAAATCTACGACAGAGACACAGATTTACAGTGTTAGAATTAATCAAAACCATACCTCTTAGTAATACACACTATTTCTAATACATTTCTGCATGCCTGACAGTTAAAGCCAAAGGGCTGTTTTTAATTTTTTCTTTTGTAGCAGTAGGAAACTTTACGGCTGCCCTTGTGTGCAGGGGCAGTGTGGAACATTGGAAACAGCTTGGCTGGATGAACAGGATCCTAGATGACTCAGAAGGCAGAGAAACTGGGAGTTAAATGAACACAAAATGAAAAAGTGAAACTAAAAGGAAGATGAGGTGGTCTATGGTGGCATGTGAATATAATCCGTCATGACATAATTAAAACAGCTGTAAAATGTAATCCAATCTGATGTCAAAATAAGTTCAAATCTTCAGTGATTTTTAAAGCCACAGTCTCTAGTGTTGTTATAGTAGCATTTGATTGTAAAGTGTAGCTACTACTTTGGGCACACAGGCTAATATGTGCTAACATTCTTGTCTACACAGGTGCAGACACAATGCTGAGAATGGTATTTACACGCAGTATGTGCTCCTCAGCTTTCTCCATTTTCGTGGCTCCCCCGACCCCTGGTGAGGCAGTCAGGCCCAGGATCTGAGGGAGGGGGACGGGCTGCTTCTGCTCCTTCTTCAGCCTCATGTTCTTATTCTTCTGCTTCAGGTAGCGCATCATTATGTGGTTATAGACTCCTCCTTTCTGAGTGTGGTGACACTCATCTATTACGATCAGTGTCAGATCTACAAAAGACAACAGACATATCAACTAATGTATTGTACATGGTAGTCGTCTGGATAATATGCTAGTTGTAAAAAGCAACACGGAGGAACAAAAGATACATTTTATTGCAGTGCCAGGGTTGCAGGATCACAACAAGCAGACTAAATT